GAGGTCGAACTGTCAGTCTACACTGCATGAGAATGGTTCTTAAGAAGTTAGACTGAGGGAAATTAAATGGAAATGTGAGGCATAATCATATCATTGTGGGAAAATTTCAACAATTCGTCCATTACTACCTTATGCGTAACCTGGGGGTGAAGTAAACTTCCTATTCAATATTTCCTTATAAATTAGAAATCCCCAAATATAACATGTTTCTTAAGCTTATATTTCGACAAGGTTTGATTTTACTTACATTTAATTTGAATTTAAATATATTGACTTTAGCCATCTATACGCTTCATTCTATTTTGTTGTTACCTAACTTATCCCACAGTTTAGATATTTGCATGACCTTTTTAACTTACCAAGAATTCCGCTTATTTTATTTAGGCCTTGGTGATAATCGAAATTTGTCTGCTAACAAGAAAGACTTAATGAACAAGCCAGATTTTAGTCTTAAAGGGCTTGATAAATCACCAATTCTTGTGTCTTTGCCGATCGAAGCAAATCAGATTGAGACCGATGCAGACTATCTGGTAGATCCTTCGGAACCCAGAGTATCGGATGAATCGGCTGCTGACAAAGAAGCTGCCTTTACAGAAGTTTCACATGCCTCTTTAAGCTTTAAGTACTCCGGACCCGCAATCACAACGATTTCTGAAGCTGATGCCAACGTGAACGTTAGCCCTAATAGATGCATGGATAGCAATGAAGCCTGCATCACCGGTAGACAGCCTAGCAACGCCAACGCCACAAGGAGATCTGCCGTTATGGACAAAACCACTCTTACCACAGCTAACAAGCTTGAGAACTCGATAAAACCGCAAGTGGCACTGTCTGCCCCAGTTGATACAATGAGGTCAGTAATTCGATCGAGTGGAAGTAGAGCAACAAAGTCGGATCGTGAATCTATCGGTCGATTTGGATCAGCCGGGCCTACAAAGCGTGTAGTGCCAGAGAAGCAACCGTTTATTGAGCATTCTGCCGGTTTAAGTGAGTTAATCGTGCACGAATATACACGCTTGCAATCAAAAATTATTAATTACTTTACCTCCAGGTCTTATTCTCCTGTGCTCTGCTTTAATACTCCTTTCTGTATAATTAATTGCTTTATACTACCGTCTCATTTAGTATTAATTTGGCCTATTTACTTATTAGACTTTTAGATAAGACTTAGAGTAATTTGCTTTCGTCACTGCCAAAATTACGCAGGGCTTCCTAAAATTTTGGATTAGGGAGCTGCTCTTAGAAATGTAACCGAGATAAAAATTATTTAAGTTATGAAGATAATCTGGGCTTCGAAGACTCTAATTTAATATTGCTGAACTTTTTGATTCTTTTGAAAAGACAAGTGGAGGGATTTGCAAATTGACCTCAGCTAAAGCCGAAGTAGGAGTTATGATTGTAGCTTGTGCAAATAAGTCTGGCGACCCCAATTAATCTGCGCTAAACTACTTTAGTCCTTTTATTTAAAGTGAGACTAATATGAATTTTTCACTGCGTGCAATAGTCTATCACTCACCTTCTTTAAGTTAGGACAGATAAATTACTCTAGTTTATGTATTACTCCGTATTTTTTGCTGATTATCAATCTCAGGGGTTCCCCTTCTTTGTGTAATTTTGGCAGGTGTTCTTGCATTCTTTTGTAACAATGCATTCATTATTCATTTGTCGTCTTCTCCATTTGCTTTAATTTCCTTCAACAGTGCTTCCAGAGCACTTTCAGTTCTCGAGTCCTTTGTTAGCAGCCGATAAGTTACCCTATCCCAACAAATATTTGACATTTTCTCGGTTTATTGTTTTCCTTCCATCATTGACGCCTCACTTGAGTAATTTTTTGAGACTATTTACCCACTTTTTTTTAATTTTCTTTATTTACTCGTCATATTGTCATTACTCGTAGGTTAATGACGTGTCAAATTTTTTTGGATGATCTCTATTCCACTGAAATTTTCAAAATTAAATCTTTTTTTAAGGGGTGCTGGGGTTTCAAAATTGAGAAGGGCGAAAGATAAATTTACTAATTTATCCTCTTTTATTTGATCTCTGAAATTTATCATTCTAGGAATCTATTTTTCGCATTAGGTGGTTTTACCTTGGGCTGTCTATTAATCCCATATTTATGCAGCTTCCTCTAATGCCTCTTACACATCATGTCCTAGGTCCTTCTCGGCATCTCGTCTGTCATCATTTGCGCTTTTGGACGATCGTTAGATGTTAGAATCCTATCCACCTCATGCATGACTCTGAAATATGCCTATCATATC